GGGGTCCTTTTTGAAAATTAAAGCACTCAGAATGGCAGTGTGGCATAGTGTCCAGGGTGAGGCTGACCTGGATGGGATTCTACCTACAATTGTGGGGACGTTACTGAAGCCCTATGTGACCCAACTGCCTCATGTACAAAATGCACCTAATCCTGCCTCTATCTCAGGATCCTTGGGGAAATCCAGAAAACAATGGTTTGGTGTCAGAGAGATTTCAGTCTCCTCATCTGTAAAATGGACCTAATAGCACTGTCCCTAAATTGTTGTAAGGATTAGATAATTGGGTAAGATTTGTACCTCAGTGCCTACTTGGTGTCTACAAAAATCCAGAGTTAATTGTTATTATTGAACGTATCTGCACATAGTAGCTACTCAATAAATATTAGCTTTTATTTATTATTTTCTCACTTGTGTAGAGGATCCTGAAAATGTTAAGCTTCATGGCTTTAGTTCAAACTTCTGAGTGACATGGGGCATCATAGCCTGACCATGCCACATATTCTATAGAACGATCTGGATCCTTTGAGAAGCTGTTTGTGGACCTAGCCCATCCGTGTGGGCCCTTCTTTACCAGTGGACATGTCTCTTCTAAGATTTTCACTGAGAACATTCTCCCCTGGACCATCCTGATTCAGTGATAAAAAAAAAATACACAAAAAACCACAGAGGGCAAATGACAGTGATAAAAGAATACACAGAAGAGCGATTTCAGATAATGAGGGAAAATGTCAAAGAAAGGTAATTCGACCTCTTCTTTCACAAATTACTAAACATAATGTGTTTCTTCATGTCCTCTATTAAAAAAATTGCTTGAGGAGGTAGTTCTGATGGATAAAGGGAAGACCCAAAAAGTTCTACACTGCTTTTGAGTTTAGTGAACACTTTGATTTGATTCTTACAACCCGATGGCAAATCCTTTTATTACCACTTCACTGACAAGCTGAGGCTGAGAATTAAATGGTTTTCCAAGCATATTTTGGGGGTGAAGGCACACCTTAACTTGAACCCAGCCCTTCAAACTCTCAAATATAGGCATAAAAAAATACAGGTGAAGTACTGTTATATATAGAGAGAGAATATTTTAGGAGAATGTCTCAGCATAATAGTTTGACATGCAAACAACTTTAGATCACAAACACGGGTGTTTGTGAGAGAAATACAACGGGCAACCAAGAATAAATATATGGATGGGGTGTGTACAGAAAAAAAATGGATACATACCCCAAAATAAAGACGAGTATTAGGAAAAAAAATGTTCAAAGGGCTATAGCTTGTGGTCTAAAGCATAACTAGATTCAAAACCCAGAGTTACAATTGGAAAAAAAAAAAAATGGAAAAGCTGACAGACATTCCTAAATGGCCCCAGGCTTGGAGAGGCAGCCTTTGAGGATGTCAGACAACCCCCAGGAGAGCCCCAGCAGGCACCTTCCACAGCAGAACTAACCTCACCTCTTGGCCTAGTTAACCATTCCTACTCTGGGGAGATCTCCAGAAGGACCAGGAGAAATTACACTGGCGAATACATTTCTCCAGCTGCTGCTGGATGACTGCGATCTCATCAGCTTAGTATTTGATCTTTGATAAGAGGTCAGTGACCTTTACAAGGGCAACACCTCAAATGTTCTCCGTCATCTAGACCTTTGTGTGGATAAATCTCAGGTCCTTGCTTGCAAGGAGGTTTTACCAGTAATGGCAAGAAGAGAGGCAGAGTACTGGGCCTTCAAAGGGGGTAAAGACAGAATGCACCTTCACAACAAAAAGCTGACAGTTCTGAAGGCCTTTTCACAATGTTGGCTAAGACCATCATTCTTTGACGAATGCAGCATATAGGAAAGTTGTGTATTTGGGGGTATGTGTGTGTCTGCATAGACACGAAATAAGTAATGGCAACACTAAAGATCATTGCTAACGTTTATTGACCTCCCACCATATGCCAAGCACCGTGCTTTACACTCATTATTTCCTGTAATCTTTACAGCAACCCAATGGAGGTGAGTACGATTACTTTCCTCATTTTATAGCTGAAAAGCAGGGTTAGAAACCGCTTATACAGCCAGTAAGCAGTACAGCAGGAATTCACATCAGTCAATCCAGTTCCTGTGTAACCATTGCATTTATGCACTAAACGTAAGCTGCAATATTTTCATGATATGACACAGACACGTGCACACACACACACACACACACACACCAATCAACATTCTAGACCCTGCAGCAGAGAGGTCAGACCCCCCCATCCACTGATTTTTTTTAATCTCTTCACTTTACACATGTCAAATAGACAAAAATTAGACAAAGAAGTAAAAAAAAAAATGCAGGAGTTTATCTTCAGAAAAGATGGGAAACAAAGAGGGAAAGAGGGAAATGGAAGGGTGTCAGTCTTTAGGTGTGGAGCATGTGTCAAAGTAGAAATGGGAAACGAAGACCTTTCTGTGTCCCCGAAAAACCGAAAGTAAGAAGGGAACCCTCTAGAACTTGAAGGAATTGCTTTAAGTTCAACAAAAACGTACAGATTTGATGGGGCTTTCTGTGAAATTCTGACAATGATCATCTAAAATCCCTGGGTAGAAAAACGTGGCCAGTATCAAGGAGTTACAGTAATTTACAATTCACAGATCTGTTACCAGTCCACCTATTTCACATCTCTGTGTGTCTCTATTCTGTGCTTTTCAGCCTCAAATAGGAGTGTCTGCGATATGTGATGGTGTTGGAGAAGGGGGGTAAAATAGTACCTGGCATACAGCAGAAGCTCAATACGTGTTCTTTGAGTGACTCATGAAAGGGAAAATGCAGCACACTCATCTCAAATATCAGATTCACTCAACAGTAAGCAAATTAAAACTTTCTTTTAAGTAAAACAATCTTGACATATAATGAGACAGGATGTAAAATGTCAGTGAATTTCTAAGCTAAAGCCCAAAGCTTCAAATTAAAAAACGGACCTGCCTTTGTACCTGTTTAGGGTAACACCCATCCCCCAGACCCTTAGAGGAGTCCTCGTGGTCACCTTTCCACCAGTTTTATTACTTGGCTAAAAAATGTGTACAAGAAGTACATGCATGTGACTACGTGTGTGCACGTATTCAACCTGGATCACGGCCATTGCCTTTCAGATTTAAAAATGAATCCATTTAAAGGAACTGTTCCATTTAAAGGAACTTTATGTCATGTTAGAGAGAAATGGTACATCATTCCTTTCAGCTTATTAAGATAGTATAGTGGGCCCCTGAGAACCATAGTAGCTGAAGGGTAACTGCCTCCTCCCCTCACTCACCGTGACCATTATGCTTTGATTCGCATTTCATGCAATTATTTGAACGATAAACAAAAGGAGGACATTTTATTCTCCAGCATTTTTCACTTAACAAATTGGAAAAGAAATATACACACAAAAATTATCCCCTACCCTTGTACCCCTTGGCCCCAACCATGACTATCCTGGGAAAGAGTTGTGAAACCAGAAAGTGAATAATATGAGACGTCATGCTGTTGGGCCTCCAGAAGGCCATGTAGTGCAGTGGAGTTTAGCCGGGTCAAGCGCCTGAAAGGATATGGCCATATCCACAGCATTGCTGCTTCATTCAAGCAAAGTACATGGTAACTTTAAAATATTTTGAACTTATTGATTCTGAACTCTCTTCTAGAAAATAAGTGGGTATCTGAAATTCCTCATGGACCCCCCAAGGGACATTTATAAATAGAAAATCTTTGCCAAGTTGAAGTCAAATTGGCTGAAGAATTTGTCTAACTGCTAAAGTAGAAGGGACTTCACATTCTTGAAAAGATTCCATGGATAGTCATGGTATGGGCATCCATGGACTGTCATCTATCTTTCTTTCTTTCTTTCTTTCTTTCTTTCTTTCTTTCTTTCTCTTCTTTCTTTCTTTCACTAAAAGTTCAAAGACAAAGTTATTGCATTTTTCCACTGCACCTTCTATTAACTTTTGATCCCGTTTGGTGAGAAATGGCCATACGATGGTCATAGAACATAAAACAAACTAGGGATCTACTCCGTGGTAAGATGGTGTGTGTAAAGGCTCTGACTCCAGTGAAAGAGGCTCTGTTAAATTTATTTCAATATATGGCATGTGGGCACCAGGTGGGGAATATGTTGATTCATTCATAAAATGAGCGATAGCATTATTGCAGTAATCTAACACATCTCAGAACTTTAATCTTCCCGCCTTAAATGTATGTTACGTTCATCCCTCCTAGACAATTCAGTATAGTGCTCATAAGCTTCCTTAAAATGCAAACTGATATTATTCATCCCAATTTTGTCACTCGCAAGGAAATCCCCTCCAGTGACACAACTCTACAGTCTGCTGCTGCTCAGACAGAAGGCTGACGCCTCTCCTCACTCTGTCGGCTCCCTAAGCTCTCATTTGGGAGAACTCGAGAAAAAGGCAGCCAGCATGGCAGAGAGACGGGTCAAAAGGTCAGGGATCAATACAGTGATGTGCTTTAGCATATTTGCTTGATTAAGTGAGCTTCATAAAACATTTAAGGAGGTGTATACTTACCACTTACGAAACAGTAATCAAATTAACAAAACATAGTGAAATAAATGCTCACATTCTTCTTCTAGTAGAAGAAAACAACAACATGTAAAATGTACTGTTTGAGGAACTTCCCGTATACCTATGTTTTATGGGAATTTTCACCCTGCATATGTAGCTTCCTCTAACCCAGGAGTTACTATTAAAACTATTTGGAATTCTTCCATTGCTTTGTATTTAGACAGTGGTAGGGAGCAGCCCAATAACATGCTGGGTGAAGGTGGACACCCATTTGGGTTGACAAAATCCACCATAGTTATCCTGGAAAGTGAAATTTCTGCCTCCTATAATCAGGAGTTGCTGGGCATTTGATTAAATACCCCAGACATTTGGTCCCCAACCTACTTTTCGTCTCTCTCCCCCCAACTGGCAAACAAGACAATTTAGATCAGAAGAACCCACAGAAACAAAGTGTGTACTTTAATACAGAAATGCTTTTACCTGCCTTGCCTGCTGTGAACGAAATGGGCTGGGCTTTCAAAACGTTAGTCAGCTTAACGCCCAGTTGGTGGCACTGGGAAAATGTGCCTGCGCAGTCTTATTGCTGTTTCGGTTCTTTAACTGCCAACTGGAATACAATAGAGGAGTCGAAGGGAAACAAAAGAGAGATGGATCCAGAAAGAACCCGAAGAATGACAACAAAATAAGCAAAGAAAATGATAATGAGTTAGAGACATTGTGCTCGCCAAAGTTAGCATCCCAGACTATTTTCACATTGAAGATAATTATGTTTCCATTAATTGCCACTTTTCCCCTGAAAAATTCATGATATTTTACCAACTACAAATTATCTAGTGGAAATTCATCTTTGCAACATTTTAAGAGAAGTCATACAATGTGCTTAACCTAAAGAGAGAAGGGCTACAATCATGTTGCTCAGATATGGGTAAGATATATTTTACACATAGAAGGGGATTTTGGTATAGCCATAATGGGCACTGATGTTGAAAACACTAATATTTTTGAACTACAAAGAGAGCACGTGGCCACTCTGATGGATTACAGGATAGGTATCAAAAAAAGAGGACTAGATATTTGAGTATCCTCATATTGTATCCACAGGCACCTGGAACTTTCCATATGCCCAGCTCCTCCATCATCTCTCCATTGTCTTTTGTACTTTTTTTTCTTCTCAGGCAGATGCCGAAGTATGGCAATAGCAAACACGAGGCTGGCACTTACCACAAAATCTTCATTTCCCATTTTAGCTTTAGATTACTTCCAAGTATGCCACTGTTTTTGGTTTGTTCACATTTAAAAATTCACACATCAAAAGTGAAACCTCACCAAAGGTCAGTAAAATAGTATGCCTTTGCCCCCCATAAGAACTATAATATACATAATTTATTTTTATTGAAGTATGTTGTGCGATATACTGAGTTACAATTTTCCAAGCTGAAAAGGATAGAAAAACAGTAACGATAATGTAATTTACACATAAATAAAATACATTAAATAGCCTGGCTTTTAATGCCTGAAATTGGTCGCAGTTTAGATAGTGCATATTAAGCTTTATATTACAGATTTCTGTGTCAAATTGACAAATGCAAACTTTCTTGGGGCTGGGATAATGATAAATAAAATCAAATGTAATCTCATTTTATGGGACATGATAAAACCTTACCTCATCAGATGGGACATCCAGATCATCGCATTTTCCCTGTTATTTTATTAATAATGCAGCAGCAGACCTTTTAACAGATAGTTCTTATAGAACATTGTCTTTCTGGGTAGTCAGAGTCAGAGTATTAACCAGGTGATCCAAAGTTAGAATACGAATTACACACCAATTTCTGTTGTTGTTTCAGCCAGCCTGCAAGTTCAGGAAAGGATAAAGAATTACGAATTTTCCACTGGACAGCAGAAAGGAAAGCTTAATATTAATATAACTCTATGCTTACTATGAACTCCCCAGCATTTTATATTTTAACTTTCTTATGATCAGTTCTTGATCCCACAAAGTATTAAAACTTAAATTGTATCTATGCCCAGACATAGCAAAGTGGTAATTTGGCCATTTTCTACTTTAGGACATGAATTATCCTTCTTGATCATCTACTCTGCTCAAATTCATTATAAAAATGACCAATTGGCCACCCCACCTCACATGTGGAAGACAATACTACAGAATGTGGGTCCCAGGATAGGGCAACCGCATGCTACCTGGGGACAGATGTGCATGATAGAGCGTGTATGAGTAACTTAAATTTTCCAATTATTCTTCAGCGTATAAAACAATTGCTACATTCTCAATTATGAGTTCCACAAGCACACACTGGGAAGCACGAGCCACTAGCATATGTCATTTTCCACTGGCAGAAGCCAACTCACAATAAATCTCTTACCTTGTAGAGAGATGGAACACCACAGGGCTCATAATAGGATGAGTGATGCATGAAATGTTCTTCAGCTCACTTCCCCTGGGATTTATCCTTCCAAACCTAGGAACACCGTCTGCCTGCAAGGATGGAATGCTAAGCAATGCAGGAAAACAACCAATGCGTTATGTGGAGCTTTTCAACTTTTCAAAGTCTAGGAGAAACTGTAAAACAAAGAAACAAGTAAGCAAGTACGCGTCTAAAAATCATGGCACATATTTTTAAGTGTGATTGTATAAATAATATGCTTTTTCTTAGAAGGTGAAGGACTATTGCAGTCGTGGTTAGAGGTTTAAGAGCGAGACTGTTTTATGTTGTACAGGAAATCACTGGATCTTAATTATAGACAAAATGTTGGTCAAATAGTCGTTTTTTTTTTTTCAAAAGCACGCAAAGGAATAAAGAAAAAAAGTAAATCTAAGAAAAATATATGAGAAAAATTTTATATGCTCACATTCAATTTCCTCGTTTAATTAAAAAAAAAAACTGTCACAAAGTTTTTTAAAGGCACATAGTTTCAAATCAGACTTGTTTCCAGTCTAAATTTAGCCTCCGTTCCTGTGTCATATTTCTTCAGGCATGAGAAGGAAAATCAATGCCCCTACTCACCTTTGGAAGAATTTCACTGCCAAGTCTCCATGGTTCTATGGGATCCAATAATCCGTGGCTCAATATTGATTTTTCTATGACACCTGTAGAAACAGCCTCTCCTTCCTTTCTAACAAAATATAGCAACAAAAATCGTGTAGTCTCTGAATGAATTAAACAGAGCTATTAAGCACAACTTCATCCTGCAAGGAAATGTGGTTTATATTTTCTAAACAATGTTACATCTTCTTGACATTTCTGAGACATTTAACAACTTTTTAAAGATAATGAGAACACGTATTTCTAAAGATAATGTGAACATAATTTTTCTTAGGTCTCTTGTGGCTAACTCCTATATTACAAATAGCATTTATTTTTCCCAGCAAATAGACAAGTGGTAAAAAAACAAACTGAAAAACTTCAGTTCTCAGTTTTAAAATAGCTCCAAAATCAAAACCTTTTTTGAAGATGAAAAACTACCTCTTTAAAATCTAAAGTTTTGATAAAATAGAGGACAACCCTTTTGAGCAGCAAGTAGACTATATCACATCCTAGGAGAGAGAGTAGGTTAAACTTGGGGTGTATTTCGTGGCATTAAAAGAGTCTGAGGAACAGCCAAGAGCCACCATCCATCCTGTTTTCCTTGAAAAACATAAATGCAAAAACCAAACCAAAACAAAAAATCGTAGAAGTCACTGTTCTAGCATTCTTCACACACCTGATTTAAACCTCAAAGGTATGTGTTTCCCCCTGGGCAGACCTCCTTGGGCATGTCTGAATATATTCCCCGCAGCCATTGTGCACGCTGACTATAGCTGGCAACCCACTCGTCACTCTCTCCATCAGCCTGAGAATCTGCAAAATAAAAATGCAGTGTTAAAAAAAAAAATCCCTTTTACATTTGCTTTTCCCAGTAAAATCCCAGAGAAGAAAACACAAAGCAGGTTGTTTCTCACAATATATGTGACATCTTGGTTAAAAGTGACACGGCCATGTTGCACCCTGACAGGTTTAGTGTTAAGATCTGACAGATATAAGCCTGCAAGAACAACCCTCCTGCCACATATATTTAAGCTCATGTTAAACCCTTGATTTGATAGTCCCTTGATTAGCTTGAGCAACAGTGAGTGCTCCTGCCTTTCAAGTTCATTATAAATTATGCGATTCCTCACATTACTGTCAATTTAAGTTCCTGTTTTACTAAAATGCAGGCATTTAAACACTCATCAAACCTGTGCACACGTTTGAGTTAAAGAATTAGATCAATCCAAACTCCAGCTCAAGGGAGAAGTTCCATTGTTTATCAGGCCATGTCTACACTGGCTGAGCAAAGCGCTCTGTTCAGAAGGAGAAGCGCCTTTGGCAGCTAGAGTCTACATAGCTGACCCATGGATGCTCCGGTGGTGGAGCTTCTTCATCTGATTACACAAGTGCAATGAAATCACTAAGCATCCGGATGAAAATGACCCATGATGACAAAAAAGCATGGCGTGATTGTTGTGCTAATTTATTTACATGGTACTCATTTAGAATATGATTCAAAGAGCCTATTAAAAAAATAAGAATGCTTATATTTCTCAGGCATGATGAATATGGGCATTGAAATAGTTGATGACTCAACATTTGATTGGACCCAACTTGTATTCTTCCCAAACAAGACAGTGGTGGCATGATTTTAAAATGCAACCTTTTTTCCTAAAAGGTCTAGGTTAAGCTTTCACTTCTGATTTTATATTTATGGGGAAAAACCTTCAGACTTCAAGTAATTAAAAAGTTGATTTAAATCTCCCAGAAAAATGGGCCAAAACAGTAATTCATATTTTGCAGGAAATATTTTAGAGACTTCCAACCTGCACCACCCCAAGATTTAGCAACCACTGTGGGTACATTCTATCCTGGGGATAGTTCAATGCCCTCGTATCATCTTGAATGTTGAGATCTTTTCACCAATTTTTAAAATAAAAAGAAGTTTAGCAGAAATGTTCAACCAGCAGCTATGAAATTATAGGTTTCCCCCTCCATCTACCCAAACACACTCCACCCTGTGAAATAATAGATACAACACTAATCACCTTTGGAATTTTGCCAGGCTTCCCCCATGGATGAACTAGCAGAGTTGGACCAAATTGCCTTGAAGGAATAAAGCCTCTCTTACCTTCATGGAAGGCTTTGTCACGGACCATCCATTCCAACTCTTTGAAGAAAGCAAGAGGGAAGATTTAAATGTGCGGAAGTCTATCCAAACTATAATCTATGAGCTACACTTTATTTCTATCAATATCACCTCAAAATACATTTGCTACGTCAAACTCTAAACCCTGGTTGGTTTCCCTAATCCCTTGGATTTTGCAGGCAGGATTATCACCCATTTTGTGCCACTCCCATTTTCAAGATAGTGGCCAGTCTGTCTGTCTTTGTTTGATAATCGTTCAGTTTATATGCTAAATCCCCTTTTGCCGGGAGCAAAATTCCACCTTCAGACTGAGTCACGGCAACAGGTTAGTTGATTGACCTTACAAATTAACACTCAAATTCTAAAACTAAAATAAATCTAGGTGATCTAAAAATTACTTTATTTAGCAAAGTGCATCTAAGATGAATCAAATCTACTGTGTCCTTTTCCTATATGAAAGCCCTAAGAATGTCTAAATATAAAACCACTGTCTGTATCTTGGTCGCACACTGAGTACCTCATAAGGACATACAGAGCAAACATCCTTCTGGTACTTAGCATAGGCTGGGCACTTTTCTACATGCCTTATATACATGATCTCATTGAATCCCCATGACTACCCTATAAGGCAAGTACTGTTATTCTTTTACAGATAAGAACACAGAGTCAAAGAGGCAAGGAGGCAAGGAGGGACTTGCCCTGGATCACATGGTTAGAAAGTGGCGGGGCTAGGATTTGAATCCAGATAGTCTGGCTCCAGAGTCTATGCCTTTACTTGGCTGCTCTTGTCCTTGCCCAGCCATGCTAGCCAAAGTGATGTCATTATGGACAGGGATTTATATCAAACGGTGATGCCTTTAAATTGGTACTTTCGGGGCGCCTGGGTGGCGCAGTCGGTTAAGCGTCCGACTTCAGCCAGGTCACGATCTCGCGGTCCGTGAGTTCGAGCCCCGCGTTGGGCTCTGGGCTGATGGCTCGGAGCCTGGAGCCTGTTTCCGATTCTGTGTCTCCCTCTCTCTCTGCCCCTCGCCCGTTCATGCTCTGTCTCTCTCTGTCCCAAAAATAAATAAACGTTGAAAAAAAAAATAAAAAAAAAAATAAATTGGTACTTTCTTTCCTATATGCGTGGAATTAATTTGCCTGGAACTAAAAGCTTCGCTCTATGAACTGTTCTGGCCCCTTGGCTCATTTTCTGCTTCTTCTTCACAGGCATTTTGTTCCATGTTGAGCCATTATCTCCTTCTTTCAGAATAAGTTAGATGTAGTCAGAAGCAAAATCAGTTCTCACTGATCATCATTTCAGGATACCCTTTACTCCTTAATTTGTTTTTTAACGTTTATTCATTTGTTTTGAGAGAGAGAGAGAGAGAGAGCATAAGCAGGAGAGAGACAGAGAGAGGGAGAGAGAGGATCCCAAGCAGGGTCCACACTGACAGCACAGAGACCGACCAGGGGCTCGATCTCACAAATTGTGACATCAGGACCTGAGCAGAAATCAAGAGTCAGAAGCTCAACCAACTGAGCCACGCAGGCCCCCCACCATTCACTCCTTTGAAACTTAAATTCTGGAAGATGCTTACTGAATGTGGAAAATATCAAATAAGGAATAAAATGCTAGTATAAAAATTGTTAATTAAATAGGGGCTTTGAATAGAGCATGTACCTAATTGTTGCCTCACGGAATCAGGCCTCCTCAGGTCAAATCCTGATGCTAAAGTTGGGCAGGTAGTTTTTTCCATGACTTAGATTCCTCATCTATAAAATGGGAATAAAAATAGTACTACTGCTTAGAGTTATGAGGATTAAATAAACTAATCCACGTAAAATGATTCAACCAAGCACTCAATAAATACATGTCATTGCTTTTCTTACATCTAGTTTGTGGCTGCAACTAAGCCTATAGCCTTCAGCGGCCACCAAGCACTAACAATCAAAAGTTTTGTCATTTGGGTTTGCAAGTATTAACATGGATTTTAGGAAAATCAGTTGTAGTCACAGGAAACCCTTTCAGCCTGGGGACGATTTGGCTTTAAAAATTCACTGTGACAGATCCCACAAATAATTTTATTCCCCTTTATGTTGCAAGAGCTCAGGCAAATCACAGAATATGACAGAACTACTCAAAAAGTCATCAGAGCTAACAATGTTGTCAGACACCTCAAAAGCCAAGAATAGATTTTTCTATATAGTAAAGTTTTAAGTCACATAAAAGGATTGTTTGCTTAATTATTTGTTTTTTATAACACAATCCAGATTTCTGCCCAGAGCTGCTGAAGTGAAATTGATCTGGACAGACCTGGACAGCAGGGATGCAATTTTAACAATTGTGCACTTCAACAGTAGTAAAACTATCCACATATTCAGCTTGTCTGTTTCTTTCTTCGCTCCTTTACCTTCTCTATATTCTAAAAGCTTAGGCTTATGGTTCAGTCCCAACTCTTTGAGGGCACATGGGTGATTTACAAATGGCTGCTTAGGAACCTGAAATAGACATTTCCATTGCAAAGAGAGGGTAACACAAGTATTAGAGGAAAATGACTCACTGAGTACCCACCTGCACTGAGCTATTTGGTAAGTGTTATACAAAGCAGAAAGAACAGATTGAAACTTTTCTTCTTTTTGGTTCTAAAATGGACACTGTCACCAGAGAGAGAGTGAGAAGGCTGGAGGCCCAGCAGAAGAACCTGAGAGAAGCTATTCTGGGTAAAGCTCAAACTTCTGCCTGTAGACTTCCAGGATGCACAGAACTACCTTTTTGTGGTTCAGGTGCCGTGAGACTTGGGAACCACTTGAGGAGAAGAATCTTTGACTCATGTCCCAGTACCTCAGAGATGGCATATTCCATGGCTATCCAGAGGGGAAGGAAGTACTAATGTGTAGTGTAGCATCCCAGTCAAGATTTAAATTTTTGAATAGAGAGGTCAATGTGCAGCCTCATCTGGCATAAAGAAAGTAGACAGAAAATGGAATGGTGAAAGAAAGCCCACAAGATCTCCATTTTTAATCCTACATCTGTGCCCATGAAAGCTTACTGCCATCAACATTCAGAAGGCATGGACTCCTAAACTCCCCAGGCCAGCTGACTTTCATTCTGAAATGAGATTTTAGCAATAATTAGCCTCTGGTTCTGTAGATGCGCGAGGAGGTGTGTTCCAGAAATACTCATCTGCCTATAGTATTATCAGGTGAGGGATGGTTCTAGGATTAGAACTCACGGAGGTAGAAGAAGGTGGTTAAAGTGTTAGAGAAGAAGTACATTTCCTGATAGTAATTCAATTAGAAGGGAAATGGAGGGCCAGGAAATGCACGGCGACTTTTACTGGCAAGAGATGCCAGCATCCTCCACTAGGAATTATCTACGAGGACAACAAGGGAATGAAGAGGAAATGCTCTGCTCAGCCCTTTGCCACCAAGAGGATGTGGAGAATAGGGGACGATTTGGAGCCTAACAGCCACGATTTGGTCTCTCACTTGAGATGATGAGCCATCCACAGCAAAGGAAACAGACCATTTCAGCAACTTTGTGGGAAGGGTATCCATTCCACGCTCATGCTCAGGCTTTCTGTCTGCGGGTATCATTAAGTCACCTGAGCACAGTACCAGGCACAAAATTATTATTTTCTTCCAGCAGTCTTATTTTCTCTTATTGCCACATGTTTGGGTCTTATTTAAGGCTGTTAAA